GCTAGCAGAACACCCCACCACGGTAGTTGAAGCTGATCCTTGAAATACTGACATGTAAATAAGGTTGCCGCAATATTTACCAAAAGAATACAAGTAAACCACCATTCAGGGACTTGCTTGTATCTTCTCATGAGCTTAGTGTGTATATCCATTTTCTTCTCACTAAAGGCGGACTTGCTCAGCTGCCATATTTCTCTAAAAAAAAAAAACACATCTATCTAAGCATGGGGAAAAAAATCGAAATCAACTGGATTGGCAACAACCAAATCACTCTGTTCAATTACAAGGTGTGGTGTCATATCAGAATAATGTCATTTGTAGCAGAACATAACCAACAACGGAAGAACACACTCCTACGAGGCCAACTATGGGTCTGGGGACAAGACAACTATAACACAGATCTCCAAAGAGCTGAAGCAGTACTTGACTAGTTGACTTGGATTCTTCTTCTTTTTTTTTTAAAAAAAATTGAATAGACAAGGGATATAGAAATGACCAAAACAATGCTGATACATGAACAAAGAACTTGCCTTCTGTTCATAGGACACAAAAAAAATAAAAAAACTCACTGCTAACATTTCCCAATTGAGTTTTACTTGGCAAGGCAGGTGAGTGCAGCCATATCAGAGAAGTTATAAACCATATTCTTCTACTCACAATTTAGTCAATGAATAGCAAGCATTTGCGCAGCACATAACGATACAAAAGAAAAATGCAACTTACTTTCCATGGAAGAGGAACACATGAACAACAGTAGCAGTAAGGCAGGCAAAGCTGATGCCATAGTACACGGCAAAGAAGGTGCTCAGATAAAGAGGACCCTCTCTTTCATATGCCTCAGCATCTAAATGAAAGTGTTCGTCTATGATAGTTGCAATGTTGTACTTTTGTCCTGAATATGTGAACAGGCTATCTGAGAATATTGGGAAAGTCCTGGAGCTGTATATGTTGAGCCAGTAAGCAATAGGTGTGATGACATACACGACAAGGGCAAAACCAACAGCAATATTGGCAGTAGCAAACCACGGGCTAGCCAGTGGACTGCCAAGATAAGAGGAGATGCTGGACCAGTCAAGTCCGATTGCACCAATCCCAAGACCATGGAGTCCAGAACCTAATTGGTGAGCTAAAACTGAAGCAGGGAATATCCAGCAGATCCATGAAAGAGAGGTCAACATTGGAAACAGGTAACCGGGAAAGACATAGTAACTGAAGCTACAGATGAAGGCTATAAGGAAAAAATGGTTCCGCGTCAATCCGCCTTTTGGCCTCGGCTCTTTCTCGTGCAGTGCTCTGCATTTGCATAATGAGTGGAATTATATGAGAAACTACGTAAAGATTAGAGAACAAAACAAAATGATTGAAGGCTAATAAAGCAAATGCCGTTGTTGTGTGACTTCTTGTTTACCAGGACAGAGGAAACTTAACACGTAGTCATCTTCATGCGGAAAAAGTCCTGCTCACTACATAAATATTCTAAAAATGACTGTTTAGAGATGGCAGTTCCCAACTGTGAAGCTTGGACACTTTCAATTAAACACATTAGACACAATTTGCTGCTGATATTTATATGTACACTTGCGCAGCATAGGAAGAGAATTTTAAGTGAACTGAGACTTCAAAACTCTCTGAACCGCGAGAGTTTGAGACTTCAATAGCTATCAACTGCATTTAAATGGTAGTACCCCGTGAAATCGGGTTCAGACGAAACGACCAATGGAATCGAGACATAGGAATGGGAAAAGATCATGTTAAAGATCGTAGAAAACAAATTCATAAGAACAGAAACGATAAAGGAAAAGACAAGATTTCGGTTTGTTTTCTTTCGTCTTGTTTCCTTTCAATGATGTAGACTATAATGTAAATGGAAAGAATTAGTCTGAAACAAGCTATATTTAGCCAAAAACTAACGAAGAAGAAATGAAAAGAGTGACAAACAACGACGGCCTAACAAAAACTACTGAAATTGCCAATTATTCAAGGCAAAACATGCTCACCAAACAACACCCTTGCCAATGAACGCACGACCGACGCACCTGAACAACGAGACTTGCACGAGATTCTGGGGCCACCACATGGCGGCGGGCTCCACCAAGTACCGCCGGAACAGCCCGGCCCAGCCGAACCCCAAGACCTGCGTCGTCAAGACGACGACCAGCGCCACAGGAAACGACATCTCCTTCCGGTAGAAGATCTTGACGACGCTGATGATGTGAATCGCGTAGACGCTGGCCGCGCCGGAGTTGGCAAAGATCGTGATCAGCACGTGCTCCTTGACGTTGAACGGGCCCGGATTGAGCGTGAATTGCCACTTGCTCCCCTCGAAGAACACTCTCTTCGTGATCACTCCGGCCATAAGGTGACCTGGAGCCAGGCACGCTCATCAGTCTGACCGAATGCGTGGACGTGCAAAACAAAATGGAACTCCGTAGAAAAACATCACAGATGCAGATTACATACGACCGCGACCTCGTCTCGAAAGTCAAATTCGATCTGCTCCGAGACTTGTTAATCGAATCGAACCGAACCGAACTGAACGGGACTCTGGAGTTCGAGGCCTACCGAGGGGGACGACGGCGACCTGAGCAGAGATGGAGGTCACGGAGAGAGGCTCGCGTCGGTACCAGAAGAACTGGTTGAGGAAGGAGAGGAGGCAGCACGCCAGGGTCCCGAGGACGAACGTGCGGAACGTGACGGAGGGGAGGGAAGGGTCGTCCCCGGCCGGGACCGTGAGCGCGACCTGCTCGATCGGGGAGCTCTCCCCACCGGCGAGCCCCGCCGCCGCCGCCGCCGCCGCGGCGGAGGTGCCATGAGCTCCGATCTCCTTCTGGACTGCTCACGGACCACCAGGAGAAGAAGAAGAAGAGGAGGAGGCTTTCCGGTCAGGTCAGCGAAGGGAAAATCACGCGAGAAAGTTGGAGGGAAAGTGAAGAGAAAATGGGGAGAGCAAAACTCTTACTGAGGAGCGGAGCTGCGACATCATCTTCATGGCTTGCGGACGTGGCCATGGCTCGTCGTCGTCGGTGGCGTCTGCGCTTTCAGATTCCGCCCTTTAAGAGCCGCATCGATCACGAACGGCTCTGATGTTGACAGGCTGTTTTGGTACTGGCCGTTGGATCTTTGATCCGTGACGTCAGCCGTGACGTGTGACCGAAGCGGGAAGGAATCTCCGAGATGGAATCGCGGCCCGTCACGCGGAGTATCGCTGGCCGCACGATTTACCTGATCGACGGCTGGTATCGGTCGACGGGGGGCCACCAGAGGACGAGGGGAATTTTTGCTCTCTTTTCCGGAACAGAGAATGCACTTTCCCCGTATTGAGCGCGAAATACATTTGTCGAACTAAGCTCCCCACACATATTTTTCACTCGTAAAACATATTTCGACCAATCAACATAAATAAAAGAAAATAAATAAATAAATAAACAAAACACTTTTTGATGTTAAACATTTAGGATTAATAAAACGAAAAATCCCAAACTGGTACACTTATGACAAATTTACCACAAATTAATTTTTCGATCACAAAAAATCCTAAACTGGTATGACAATTTTACCCTCCGTTAGTTTCCGTTAAATTTTTCCTTCAAATTTCTAAATTGAATGACACTCGGGTGTACCGGTTTGGGATTTTACCGTCCTTCATTTGTTACAGATGTATCGGTTTATGATTTTTTGAAGTATTAATCTAATTTAACGGAAAGTAAATTTATCACAAATGTACCGGTTTGGAGTTTTCGGCGGTCAAAAAATTAGTTTAGGGTAAAATTGTAACGCGTGTACCAAATTGAGATTTTTGTGATCGAAAAATAAGTTTTGGGTAAATTTATCACAGGTGTATCAATTTAGGGTTTTTCATGGTATTAACCCTTAAATCTGAAAATACCGTGAAACCGACAATTCTTGTTAACATATAAGAATCTGTCTTCGACTCCAATTGAATTTCATGTCAAATGGCCGTTTTGTGGTTTGTTCTAATTCTTATTACGCATTTTCTATCACATCATATCATATTGTCGACATGGAGAAGTTTTTATAATATTTAATCTATATAGATTAATATTATCATAAACATTTAATAACCATGATTGTGTTGATTATGTAGAGAGTAGGGGATGAGCAATCGACTTGGTTTAATCCGGGTATCGGCATTACTCCGCCAATTTACAAGGAGACCGATATGGTTTCTAGTTCCAAAATTTGGAAACCAGCCTTGATTGGTTCGGTTCTTGATTTTATTCCTATAACTGGCCAGTTTTCTCCGGAAACTTAAAAGGCTGATTCTAGGATAGAACTTGAAACCAAACCAGTTTACCCTCACTCCAAATAAACTTCTTTAATTTTTTTCTAAAATAAAAAATATTTGTAATGATTGAATATATTTTTACATATTAACCCCAGGTAGAAAGAATTATGTTGATGTTTGACACATGCATACCATATATAATAGATTGAAACAGAAAAGGCAAAAAAAAGTCCCAATTGGTTTCTGAGTTGACTCTAGAACATTTGATTTTATATTGACCTGTTAAATATATGGGTTGGGTCAGATTTGGGTTAGGTTGAAAATGTTCCAACTCAAATTGACTCATTTAATCTGTGTTAATAGATTTCCATCCATACTCAATCTTGGCCATATCCAACACCTATGCGACCCGACTTGAAACACTTTTATTTTTAATTCAATCTAGAAAAATTCGTACCAAAATCGAGATGAGAGCATGAAGCAAGCGAGTGCGAGAGCGAGAGAGGGTGAAGAAAGAGTCTTAGAGTTGAGTTGAGTATAAATAAGTTGTGAACCCATTTAACATACTTATCATTTCAAGCTTTACCATTTTAAACCCATTTATGTACCATTTTTTGAACATAGAACTAAACCATCAAATGCGAGTTAAGAAACGGGCCTAATTCCAAATTTAATAGTGTCTTTTCGACCGGTAGGTCCCAAACTGGAATCGATCCCGACAGGGTTAATTATTTATCCATCCGCTTTTTGTATTTTTCGGTAATTTGGCCCAAATCACCGGAATCGGACCCGGAGTCAGTCCGGCGCGCCGCCGTCAGCGTCAGCGTCAGCGCGAGGATGGAGCGACGGCCCACCGGTGCACGTGTCCGCCGCTTCTCTCCTCCACCGCTTCGGGAGGAGCGGTAATGCCGATCCCGCGACGCGTCCTGTAATCGGCAACGCCGCCGGATTCCACCGCGGTCGGCCCGGTTTTGCTCGAGCGATATAGCGCGCGCGCGATAGAGAGAGAGAGAGGTGGAGAGAGTCGAGAGGAGATGAGGGAGGCGTTGCTCCGCCTCGTGGTCTCCATCTGCTGCTGCTGCTGCTCTGCGATCGGAAGGTCTTCCGCCACCGTCGTCTTGAAGCCCTCTCTCTCCTTCGAGGGCCTTCCCGCCAAATACGGTATCCCGCTTCTCTCTCTCTCTCTCTCTAGGGTTGGCTTGGCGCATGAAGAGCGCCCTTTCCTTTTGAGTTTTTTGTTTCATATCTGCTATCTACGATTTCCGCAGCTGTACATGTGGACGAGTCGGGCATATGCGGAGCGCTGGAGGTCACCGATCCCGCGGACGCTTGCTCCGCCCTGCGCGGCGGCGGCGGCGGCGGCGGCGGCGTTCGATCGAACGGAACTGGTTCGGTTAGGTTCGCGTTGATCGTGAGGGGCAATTGTTCGTTCCAGGACAAGATAGTGAACGCTCAGACTGCCGGTTTCGGCGCGGTCATCGTGTACGATGACCGCGAAGAGGCCGAGTTGATGTACAGTGAGTCGCATTGTGCTTCAAGTTTCTCATGACTACATTGACTAGTATGAGTTGATTGGTGTATATGCTGATGCTGAACCATGGACCTTACCTTCCTTTGTGGGGTCGTTTCTCGTAGTTGAGCTCAATTCATTTTTTTTTTCCATTTTTGGTCGGTTCATAGAATGCTTAAAAGCTCCAAGATGGTGAACTCGATCTGCTGTTTGCAATAAGATTTCCTGGTGCCCTGAGTTCTCTTAAATTGAAGATTTATTATGTCATCGGAAGATCGTTGTCTTAAGTAGTTGGGAGATTAAGGAGAAAAAGACATGTCTCTTGTGCTGTGTCACAAACTTAAATCTGCGTTCTGGGTCCATGTTATTGCATAAATGTCGGCAATCCAGGGGGCATAAATATCGAGAAACATTATGAGCATGGTTGAACGGTAACTTAAATTATCGGTTAATGGTGCGTTCTCTATCGTGCAGTGATGGTTAATCCCAAGGAAGTCATGATTCCCGCAGTATTTGTTTCGAATGAAGCTGGTCGGAGTCTAAAGGAGCATACCCAAGTTGGAACAGGGGAATGCTGCATTTACGGATCTCATGTCGAAACAGGCTGGACTGTGCTGGCTACATCACTCATCTCCCTCATTCTAATATTTTGCGTATTGGCTTTTGCCTTGTTTATTCCAAGATCATGGTTGTACTGGCGAGGAAGAACACATCATGTAAAACATGTAGATGATAAAATCGTGGCAGAACTTCCCAACTTCACCTTCAATTCTGCTCGAAGTAGTGCCAAGTACGATAGGGAAGTTTGTGCCATCTGTCTTGAGGATTACAAAGATGGAGAGATCCTTAAAACCCTTCCTTGCCAACACGGTACAACATGGCTATCTTTCTTGCTTGTTTTATGTGGCTCTTTCGGAGAAATTTAATTTATGGTTCACATTTTAACCTGGTCAGAGTACAGTTCTCATTTCTTCATCGAGCACCCTGCGTTCATTTAGTTTAAATTACATTAGAAAGCTTAAGCCATCATGTGATTTATTGTGATTTATTCTTGCAACTTTGCATTAGGTAGAATTTTAGGATACTTGGGTGATCTGCTTCAAGGGTTATTACAAATTGGTTGAGGGAAAAGATTGAGACTCGCACTGTTATACGACATCCTTACGGAAGTGGTACCACCAGTGTCCTTGTTACAATTCAACTTCCAAATTGTTTAGGCAAAAACATTTAAAGGTTGAGTTTTCATTGGTAAATGTCATTTTCTGGAAACATGGTTTTATCAGTGGGTCGCTTCTTTCCCAGTAAGATAACTAGCATATATAATCTTCTTTAACTTCAAGAGCTCCATCCAGAATTTCATTCAGCCTGTGTGGAGTCTTGGCTGAAGAAAGGAGGATTGTTCTGCCCTGTGTGCAAGCATGATGTGAGGACCAAGAGAGCATGTCATGAGGTAACTTTCTAGTGCCACTTTGAGTTGCAGTATATTGATGAATAAAGGGTGCAGTTTTTCCAATGTTTATACTAGAACTTACAATGCTTATAATGGTGTCATACTGATTGAGTGACAAGACAATCTGCAATTGCATATTTCCATCTTATTGTCTTGAATAAGTCAACTGGAGGCTTGCTTCTATTGCCATTCTCATTATGGTTAATTCATTTGGCGAACCTATGTTTTCTGTTTAGGATCACGTGTGAAAATTGAAATGGTGCTGCTCGGTATCAGTATGGTCATGGAGGTGCATAATTGATTACATAGTTTTGCCTGAGTGTGGATGTTTCTGCCGATACATCTGCATGTACGTGAAGAGTTCCTGTACTTATACAGCCTTAAAAATGTGTTGTTAAGACTGGCAAATTTGCACATGGTATCTATCTTTACGCATGCAAGCGATGGACAATTCTGTATAACGAAGTTAAGACAATTGCTAAATACACCAATCCTTGGCTTGCTTTAATGATGGGCAGGCCTTCTTCCAGTTGGCATCACTGTTTGCATAAGGTCAATCTTGTCCAAGGTGAATTTTTTTAGTATAGCAAAGTACTTTGGGTTTATTGATAGTTCAAGGTTTACTATACTCGATAGGCATTTGAGAGTTATAGTTGACCTACTTAAGATGTTTACTTGAAGCTTCTCCATCTGCATTTGACAGTTTGTCCTTGTAGAGTTATGAGGGCCACTAGTCATTAGATCGAATGCCAGCAACTCCTTGCTGAAGACAGAGACCCTTGTAACTTACAAAGTTATGCTGGGTGCTAGATAGTACTACTGTTGAAGAAAATCATGGAACATTGTGAGTTTTGTACTAGTAGGCACTGTGATAGTGGACATAATCGAAGCCTTTCTGCCTGTGCTGATTTTGTTCTTGACTAATACCAGTCTTCTGTCAAAGACACGAGATACTTGTCTTTGCTGTAGTACATCATGGAGCAATGAAATCTTCTACATACTACTTTTTGAGCAACTTACATTTGTTAGATAGATACATCATGGAGCAAGGCAAATCTAATAGTCGCAACATGCAATGGGAATTTGTGGGAATGACATGCATTAGAGATGGAAATCTGAAGTAATACAGTTCAATGGGAGCAACACTTAGGTTTTGTAAATGGATTGGTGCCTGTGTAATTTGTCAAAAGTCCACTGGCAGCATCATATTTATGCCATAGAGAAGTGTGATAGGATCTTCACCATCTTGCTTCTCAGACAGAGGGAGAGAGGATTACTTGCCAATGGAAGTTTCTCTGAAAGAGGGGCTAAGTAAAAAGAGAAGACACGTGATTCAAGGAAATTAAAAGATACTTCTCTATATTCTTTTTTTAATTGACTGTAGAAGTTAAAAATAACTCTTTTTCCTTCTTTTTTCTTTGGTTTAGGATTGGGGTTGCGGGGTGGGGATGCGGAGTGTTTGAGGCATAACTACTTGCCACCCTTATGCATTGGGGGAGCTGTTATTTCAATGGATTAATATGTATGGAGAGATTCTGTAAATGCTCGTATGGTCAAAATTGTTTAAAATTTTTGAGACCAGCGCAGAAGTCTATCGAGGTTTAATGTTAACTATGTTTTGCAGACACAGAGAGAAACTGGGCTTTAGTATCAAGAAGGAAAATGGCGATTTGCTCTGCTTTTTGAAACATCAGGTATGAGATGCATCCTTAAAAAATAATTGTTGTTTAGACTTTAGAATGTATGGACGGCAGTGAATTCGTTTCATCATTAGATGGAGCAGTTCAGGTGAAACATAAAAGCTCCCACCATGACTTGGGGCCCCCAGTTTGCATGTTGCCTTTGCGATGTATTTAACTGTGAAACAAGTTGATTTGTGATTAGTGGATCCCAAAATCTGGGACTACGTTAGAGCACGTGGGACTTACAAGTTGATCCCTGACAAGTGATGCTTTGCCCAACTCATGTTATTCAGCTATGGTGTTTACTAGTCTATCATTTCCATTTCTTTTTCCGCATACTTCCTTCTTCTCCAGGTTTACTTTAATCCACGCTCGAAATGAATCTGTGCGCTCAACTTATGGAATCTCCTCCGGCTTATCTGTGAAGACGATGTTGCTAGTTGAAGCTCGGCAATGCTCTTGGTATTATTCTATCGTCGTTGTCAGCAGCGGCAGCAGCGAAAGCCCCTTCACGACCTTTGAGGTTATAGCTGAAAAGTTAATCTTGTTCCTTCAAATGAGGACCTTGTCGTGTTTAGTTCCCTGTATATATCCTGTTCATATTGTCGATCAGATAGATGATCCCAAATGAGAAATCAAAAGATCTTTTATTACCACAGTCCCACACGACTACATACTTATAATAATATCCCTGAAAATTGTCGGCCCAACATTGCATGTATGACATGTGGTGATTTCGATTAGCGTATGACGAAGATGAATCGTCGATGGGTTGACATAAAGAAATCGATGCTAGAGCGAAATCGACGAAAGGATCAATGGAAATCTAGATCGGTTAGAAATTCGGTATGATTTACGATCCAACAATTTACAAATAATCCGTACATTGTCGTTGTCGTTGTCAATCGAAAAGCCTTGACTGGGCGGTGATTCAGCATTGCAGATCCATCCGGTTTTTTTTTATTCTGTGCACAGAAGATCCACTTGCATCTCTGCACCAACCACGATGGAAAATGCATCTCATAATATTGTAGATACGCAAAAAGTTACTAATCATGCTTTCCACGATACTTAATTCATTATCATATTAAATAAAAAGCACAAGTTGATTAGATAAAATCGAGTAATCATGAATTGCCACACACTTTTTGAAGTTAAACGAACGAGTCGCTGAAATTAAAAAAAAATAAATACATGAGTCATAGAAGAAAAAACTGCTCGAGACCAATATCTTTTTGACGAATTTCGAATGATAACTGAGGATGCGGAACACTAAATTTATGTTGTGAAAATAGGAAATTACTAAATTCTTTTTTTTTGGTCGAAAATTTCTAATTTCTATAATCATGAAATTAGAAAAAGATTATAATTATAATAATTACTAATTTCATGATTATAGATCATCGTGATTTGAATTTATATAATAGAATAGTGTGCCAAAAGTCAGGATCTATTTCTTCCAATGAAAAATAAAATGCCTAATTTTTTTAAATGGTTACCAGAAACAATAAATAGTCATGACTCGATTGTTGGCAAATATATCTTATGCTTACACAGAACACGACGATTACTAGATATCATATTGATAGTTTTGTGTTGTGATGATCCTTTTTCGTGTTAGAGAGAGAAGGTTATCGAGACGAGACATAACAAATCGAGGAGGGGGCCAAGATGATCGAGAAGTTTCGAGATGGCTAAGCGTTTTCGTGAGTAAAGTAACATACATTTGTATTTTAGAGACTTCTGGTAATCAACGGCGCATGCGGTGGATATGGAGATTGGATGCCGACCATCGGATCAAGAGGAGATCTCCGGTTATAATTCGAGTTTGGCCGACTGTAACAAAGAGAGGGATTAGCGTTAAGGAAGTTTAGGTGCCCCCCCGACGTGGCGACGTCAATTAGTGGGGCCCGCGAACTGATCGTGGACTCCACGGCGTCTCAGCACTTCGGTCTGGTCCGAACACGACAAGAAATTGTCGTTTAGTTAGTTGGGCCGTTACGTCGAAGTCCCACGTGGCGCGACGCGATTGCTTCCCTTCCTCGTCAGCAGGAAACACACGCCTCCTTGAAGCCCGAGCCTTATCTCTCTCTCTCGCTCTCGCACTCTCGCGCTACTAGCAGAGCAGTGAGAACGCGCCTGCGATCTTTGCTCCGCCGATATTAGCTGAGCTCCGGCGGCCGTCCCTCCCCGCTCCCGACCCGGAATCCCGGCGACCCGGATCCGGAAACTCCCGGAGCTTTCTCGATCGTGTTCATGGCTTCCCTCGAAAGGTACGGGGTCAGGGCTTGATCTTTCCGATCAGACTTGCTCATGAACTTCGTGGAACTCCGAAATTGTCCGGTTGACTTCGCCGGAGTTGTTCTGCTGATTCGTTTTTTTGTTCCTTTGTAATTAGTTCCTGGTTTCATCGTGTTTTCTTTTTCCTTGTAGCTCTGGACCGGGAGTGGTCACCGTCGACGTTGTCGCAGCCAGGGATCTGGTCAGCTCAGGCCACCGTTTCCTAGACGTGAGGTGGGGGGACAAGAGTCGTCCGGCTCGAGAATTAGTAGAAAATTCTTCTTTCTTCTGCAATTCTTGTTTTGGGAAGAACAAATTTCATCGTCGAGTGTCGGTTTCTTTAGGACCGAAGAAGAGTTCAAGGAGGGTCACCCCGAGGCGGAGGACGTCTTGAACATTCCCTACCTCTTTGTTACCCCGGAAGGTGATGAATCGCAGAATATGTCGTCTTCGTTCTGGATATTGACTGATGTTGAAACTCTCTTGAAAATCTTTAATGGAGTCACGTACTGTTGTTGCTGTTGTTCCTCTTCTTGGTGGGGTTTTTAGGTAGAGTGAACAATCCTCGGTTCACGGAGCATGTTTCATCTGCCTATGGGTTGGAAGATCGCATTGTGGTGGTAATGTTTCCTCTACTGTTCTCAATTTTTGTTGGGTCTTTCAAAATGTCAAGAAGTTCTGCATATACTCTAGAATGGAACTTGTCAAATGATGGGGGTTCGATCGACCTGACAGGGATGCCGGAGCGGAGCCCGATCGCTGTCGGCCGGCACCGACATGCTTAAAGCCGTGAGTTTCCTTCGGCTCATTCCCTTTTGATTTTTCATAATGATCCGATGCCGGAATCACTCGGGCATATAATGTCCAGCGACATGAGGAACTTTTAGGTGTTCGGGGAAACATGACGTCTTCTTCATCCATCTAAGCGATGCGACATTGCGAGCGCGCCGAACTCTTCTCTCTCTTTAATCTCTTCTATGTCGTGTGATGAATGCGGTTATACTTAATCGGAGAAAACTTGGCCGACGATGAGTGAATTTGGGCAGGGATACAAGCATGTGTGGAACATGGGAGGAGGTCATCTTGCTTGGGTTGACCAGGGATTGCCTGTGAAGAAGCCACTTGAGGAGGAGATGAAACTTCACCTTGACCCAAAGGCTGAGAAAGTCACCAAGGAAGAGAAACTTGAAGTGGTTAATTAATTAGTTAATTAAGCAAGCACTAATATCGGATTTGGTGCATTGTACTATCTGTATTCATGTGATCAAGTTTGTAATCATGTTTTGGATTTCTGGCTCTAGTTCGTTTGCTACTGAGAGATAAAAGCCAGATCTTATTTATCTAGTGGACTTTGTTCGGGTGATTTCGATTTGAGCTATGACCATGTTCCTTGAGAAAACTAAAGAAAGAAGGGATGAGAATGATACCGATCTCTCGTTTATCATCCCCCGATCCACGGTTGGATCATGCATCGGAGAAAAAAATGCTTAGTCGAGTCGAGCCAGCAATGGACCTAGAAACACTGTACAAACTGGCACATAATGCAACACCCGAACCTTAACGCTTTGGTATTACGGTCGGACTAAACTCTAGGGATGACCATTTTTCCATTTTAGCCCAAGTTTTAAGTAACTAGACTAGGCTTGTGTCTGAAACATGGTTCAAGAAGAAAAATTGATATGTAGGTCCATTCGAGATATCAAAGAACCGAATAGGTTGTTCGATCCAAGTGTAGGTCTACTGCTGAGATAAAATCTTCATCTTTTCAAATGCTTCTCCAAAGCAAATAACTCATTTACATTGTAGGGTCCTGCCTTTTACTTCATTGAATCTACAAACATCTCATACTTTGATTGCTCGTATATTTTCCAGCGCCTTCAAGTTTGATTTTAACCTTATCATTATGAATACTAACAGTATTTCTCGAAATGTTATATGAATATAATTTGAATATAGTAAGAACTTAAATCCAAGCTCATTACACGCATTCGAAATTACATGAATCGAAATTATATGAATCGACGTGTTCTTTTTAACTCATTCTCAATAGAAAAACTGCTAGAATTATTAACACGACGGCACGAATCAAACGATGAATGAACACGTGATTTCTAGCGTGATCTCGTCTCGAATGAAATGGCTTGGAAATTGAACCACGTGCTTACATATGGCGAGCACTGATCCAACTGCTCCCTACACCAACTTTATATCATCTCAATCCTCATCAAATGTTTAATCTCTTTCCTCAATATTCTTTCGGTGAGAATCATCAAAAGGAGTGAATGGTGATATTCCCTCCCCCAGTCAGAAAAACAAGGCCACACAAAGCCAAAACTTTATGCATGAGAGAGAGAGAGAGAGAGAGAGAGAGAGTGTGAAAGTCACACACCCAAAAGACCAGTACATACACAAAGGAGCAAACGAAAGACAAGGAAACAGAGTCGCTTTCCAAACGGCAAACGTTAGTAGAACTGGCAGTTGCTGGTGGCGGAGATGATCGCCAATGGGGACCCACCCTGCCCACTCCGTCCCTAACGCCCCATACACGTCTTCTTAAATGTGTTTTTCATTTTCACTGCTCTCTGCTCAGACCAACGACCCACCATTAATGTGACCTCTTAAAAGTTAAGACCTTTCTTGCTTCAGGCTGAGTCAAAGAGAGTGGGTGTCTCTTTCTTGTATCAGTGGGCTTGAGTTCGTGTTTGGAGATTTAAAAGAAAAGGGAAGAGTGAGTTTTGGGTTGGTGTTAAAATGGGAGGAGAAGGGAGATCGCTGGCTGAGACCCCAACATATTTGGTGGCGACCGTGGTCAGCGTCTTGGTTGCTCTGGGTTACTTCTTTCACGGCTCTCTGAAGAGGGTTGGAAAGGTCTGGACTTTTCTTTTCTGAGCTTTCTCTGTTTATCCTTTTGGTTCTTCAGATGTTCGAGGAAAGTTGGAAGAAGAAAAGAGTAGGAGAATGAAAATGTGTTGTCAGTTGTCACAGTATCGTTTTTTATACTGAACAGAGAATCCTTGCACACGCGCACGCGCGCACGCACAAAAAGAGATAATTTTGCAGTTTGTTTATTATTGATGTAATGTGAGCATGCTGCGAGGTTACTCCTCTTGCTTGATTGAATTTTAGATTGATATTTTGCTTTGAGAGCGGAAAAAAAGAAAAAGAAAGAAGGAAATCGATGAAAAGGCTCTTGAGAATTAATGGTTGATGTTGCGTCGTGTCTTATTGTAGTGGTTAGACAAGACTAAGAGGAAATCTCTCTTTGCTGCTCTGGAGAAGATTAAAGAAGGTGAGAAATTGAAACATTCGGAGAACGGCATTCTCTTGTTTTTCACCTGAAGTTGTGAATTTCTGAGTTTAATTGTTGTTGCTATCATCCGCGGGCAGAGCTTATGCTTTTCGGGCTCCTGTCTCTGCTGATGGGTCATTGGATAAAATTTGTGGCAAAAATCTGCATCAAATCCTCGGCCTTAAGCAGCCGGTTTTATCCATGTGCAAGAGAAGGTGACTTTAGAACCGGGGACCACATTCTCTTTCCAAATTCAGTTTATCCGAATATCTCGAAGGAGCAGGTGATTGCTGGGGAGCATCATTTCTGTCCTGAGGTAAGGTTTCTACTTGTTCAACTCCAATTGCCAATGCTAGTTGTGTTAGGGGGTTAAGTTAGGGTGTTTTAGATGCTTAGCTGGAGTTATGTTTCTTCAAGCACTCATTATGTTGACATGAATTGTAATTTACGTACTGCCACATGTTGTGTAAGCAGTAAGCCATTATACAATGTCTATGTTTCTCGGATAGACTGCGAGTTCTTCAAGGTCAGGTAGATTGGTCTCGATGTTGCCTTTCTAGTTACTAATGGACGGTCTTTTTAAGAAAGTCATCTGCCAAGCATCACTTCCAATTGGTTTGAACAGTTTTGCTTCAGGTATTATATTTGGCTGGCTCTGAGATATGCAGAATGTAGCCAATTATAATTTCCCAGGCAATATGCTCTTATTCTGACAATCTTCTAGATGTTTTAAATTATTCTGCAATGATCTATATAAATTTCGTTGACAAATACTGATGATGCTCATTGGGAAGGACTGAAGACTGAATACAATGCACTATTGAAGACTCTTTTAACCCACTTTTGACTATTTTGCAGGGTCATGAATCTTTTGCTTCATACGAAAGTCTTGAGCAGCTTCACCGTTTCTTGTTTGTCCTGGCAACTGTCCATGTTTCTTACAGCTTTGCAGCAATTGCGCTTGCTATGATTAAGGTTGTTTATCATGCTAGATCGCCAACACAGTTTCGTTTTTCCAATAAACTCAATGTGCTTGCCTTGTGTTGTCACTCAGATATATAGCTGGAAAATATGGGAAAACCAAGCAAAGACAATGTCCATCCAGAGATTAGAAGGTCCACAGATATCTTTTACGTGTGCCATTACTAAAGCAGACTAATAGAGTCGTAGGCAATACCTTTCGTATTCGTGAGAACCTTTTGAATCAAGCATTTTAGTCATTCAGATGGTTCTGGACAGCGTAGATGAAGTATTTTTATCTCGTGCTTTTACTTATCTTTGTTTGGTATGTCAGTTAACTGCTTAGCCCATTGTGTCCTTTCATAGTTTCACCTTGTTACATTTTCCTGACTACTCATCTAAATTTACCAGGAGAAGCTTCCAAAGATATTAAATTGATGCGGCTATCTACTTTCATTATTCACCACACATCACATCCATGGAGCCAACACAAGCTTCTGGTTTGGCTGGTATTATCACATTATTCTAATCCTTGTATTTCTACTTAAAGTCATGTGACTTGGCTCAATGTTGATTAGCATATTAGATAGTAGATTTGTCCCTTGTACTTCTCGTACTTCTGGATGGTTGAATTGACACTTTTTATTCGCTAGAAATTCTAGTAAACTTGTATCTTTGAAGTTACTTTACCTGCATCCTAATCAAACTTCTCTTGCTTTCTAATGTTGATTTATATAGATTTATTATAGCATTATATGCCAGCCTATGCTTCTGAAGGGATTGGCAGTGATCCCACATATATGTACTTTTATTCGAGACTTGTAAAAGATGATACTTTAATAACTCTGATACGGAACCCTACTGTGGTCAGCTTTGCTTTAGTCGTCAATTCTGGAGTTCGATAAACCGGCCTGACTACATGGCATTGCGCTTGGGCTTCATCACGGTGATTTCTCTTGAAGGACTTCTAAATTCTAATTTATCTTTAAATCGACATGAAATTATCACATGCATCTCTTATACTTCATTTGCTTTTTATCTAGTTGTGTTATTTATGCTAATTGATGGGGGCAGAAAAGTCACAGATTCTCCATTTAAGCAACATTTAACCATGAAAATGGTGGAAGGCTATGGTGTTTGGGTGGCAAAGATTGAGACTGCTTCTGAAAATGTAGTCCTCTGAATTAAGAAATCGCTGTTTCTAACTACTTAAAGGTGATGCCTAAAATCTTAATAAAGGAGAAAGCCTTTGATAGTGGAGTAACAGAGCATCATGTATTCCATTGTGATAAATTCATGAATACTCTTCCATTTTTTGTGTGTTGTGAATTGCAGACTCACGAACTCCCTCTATCATATGACTTCCATAATTATATGCTCCGTAGCATGGAGGAAGAATTTCGAGATATTGCTGGGATTAGGTAATATCTCCTTTGCCTGCCTTGAATTTTGCAATTGAAGTATTTACTCCTACTGAGTCTATTCCGTATTAATATTAGAGGTTATAACAGGAACAGAAGCCGCTTTCTCTTCAGACATAGACTTAGTTGGGGCAATTGTAGATTTCAACTGTACATCAAAACCATGTCAAGCCAAGGTGTTATCTGTGTTCAGTGCACATGCTTGAAGATTTAGCTTTCCAAGTATAAGTGTCCTTATCTATGATATTTGACCTGATGAAGCATCTCATTGGTCTCGACAAAGAAGTTGCTATGATGGATTTACTAGAAAATTATGGCTTTTCACCTTGGAATCTCGGCTAAAGGGATGTTGGATGATATTTTCGTAATTTGTTTCTGGTATTCCGATGAATGAAACAACTCAAATGGATGCCAAGTATCCTGTTTACTACATAATAAAGTAAAACACTAGAGAGTAGAGATTCACTAATGTTAATGCGGGTGCACATGAATCTGTATGTTTCCAAGAATTATGACTGCTTTTAATGTTATAACAACTTTGTTTGTTTCTCTAAATCTAACTAGATATGATTAATTAAAAATGAAGTCTTGCAGAATGTGAAGTTTGGGCTCACAACTCCTACTTTTTCGTGTTCTATAAGGCAGTTGCCCTTGTGGTCGCCGAAACTGTCACAAGTTTCTGTGTCTTTTTCAGCCATTCATGCGGCCATTTGTTTTGCACTTCTTTTGCAGCGTGCCTCTCTGGATATATGCCATTTTCTGCATATTCCTGGACTTCCATGGTAATTCTCTTTAGATCTGGAGGGTAAGGTAGAAGCTACATTTTGTTTTGGCAATTCAACACATGTTACCCCATCTGTTGTATTTTTATTTTTACGGCGTCAGCTAGTACGTTTCTTTTCGGAGACATTATTAGGGCAACGTCATGTCTGCATCAAATCGAAGAATATGAATGTCCACTGAAATGCATTTATGTCTCTTCATACCGAGATATCATCCATATAACATTACCTTGTTTCAAATTTACGTTGGAGCGGATTTCCAAAAGTTATCTCAAACTGCTGTTAGATGCTTAATTAGAAAGATTTGCGAGATGTTCGCTGGTTCAATTACTGAAGTGCTGAGTTATTAATGGATTGTTGGAGCTAGACATATGGCTAAACTTTCAAAGGAGAAACATGACTGCTACTGATGTGTTAAAATTCTGCACCAATCGTTGGATTCCGATACTTCAATGTATCATTTGGTTGTGGGTTTATCTTAAGGAAGTTATCTCATATGTATTTTTCTATTTTTTATCAGGAAGCAACATCTATTTTTGGATTTCCTTCCTTCCATCAATTGTGAGTTGTAATCTGTCATCTTATTGGTTTATATGTTCTTTTTTTCTCTCTTTTAGAATTCAGAAATCACGACTAACTTTGCTTTCCTCTCTCTATCTCTCTCAAAAGTTGATCCTGCTGATTGGTACCAAGCTTCACCATGTCGTTGTGAAGTTGGCTGTTGAAATCATGGATTCATGTCCCCTGAAGGAAAATCATCAATTTAAACTGAGGGATGGGCTCTTCTGGTTTGGGAAGCCGCGGCTTCTTTTATGGTTGATACAGTTCATATCTTTTCAGGTGAGCAATCAGGGAAATCAGCTATAAATTGCTGCGGTTATGTTATACACCTAATTGCTTATCCATTCAAGGAACTTTCTTTATATTGCAGAATGCGTTTGAGATGACAACTTTTATCTGGTCCCTGGTAAGAAACTGACCTGGTCATAGGTAGTTCCTAAACATGTCTTTGTTGCATGCATCTGAGGTGAACTTTCCCTTTCTAGCATGAGAATCTCATATAGGAAGGTCTGACTGCACGAAGCGAAGTTTGGCCTAACTCTCTAGGTGCCACCGATGAAATCTTTTGTGTAATTAAGGGGACTCTGCCAATGGCATAACAATTTGCCGACGAATAACCTTAGTTGAGCAATCTGAACTAGCCTTAATTTATTTTGTCTGTACTGTGAGATAGAGCGTCTTCATCATTGATACAACTTAACTCAACTATGCCTTGTTTAGATTAATTATTATAATGGTCCTGGCTGGATCATTGTTGGATTGCTGCTATCATCCCTTGAAGTGCATCTGCGCAGTTTCTAAGTGTGCTGTTTCCTCGCCGTGAATATAATTTGCATTTGTCACTGAGACATGTGATTGGGGAAATCAAATAGACGTGGCCTTGTCATCTTGGAACTTGAATCCAACGAGTTTTCATTTTTGCAACAGAACAAAATACTCATCATGTTCTAGTAAGGTTCCTATTTTGCTGATTCGATCGATTATCCAAAATGACAAGATCTATATTTGCAGTGGGAGATAAGGGACACCACTTGTTTCATGAATAATCGCAGCTTGCTGGTGATCCGATTATCATTCGGGTGGGTCTTCCTTCTTTCCCCTCCTACTTCCTCTTATGATCTATCCTGGGACATTAGCTCACACAAACATTCTGCGGATATATGCAGGGTTGTGTCTCAGTTCTGGTGTCTCAGTTCTGGTGTAGCTTCATTACTTTCCCTCTATATGTCATTGTTACACAGGTCTCTCTCTCTCTCTCTCTCTCTAAACTGTGATCAGTCCGAGCCTATTCACGCGACACCTCTCAAATTCAAGTTCATATGGTGTAGATGGGTTCCAAATTTAAGAAATCGGTGATCCCCGAAAGCGTGAGGACATCGCTGCATGGATGGCGGAGGAGGGCCAAGGCCAAGCAAGGCTCATCCACTCCTCTCCATAGCGTGACCTCAGTCACATCCCTGGATTCCTTGGCGGATGACATGGACAAATTTGATGGCCTAGGCCACCACCAGATCGGCATCGAAGGAAGCTCTCTGGATGCAGAAGATACGTCGTTTTCACATCATGACGAGTCGGAGGAACAGAGTTTCAAGCCGGCCCTTAAAAATGACGACACCCCAAGTCGACTTCATTCAGGTCCTATTTTCGACATCTATAGCAGTGATGAGGACCGTGATCTCGACATACACAACGATGCGAACGACGGGTCATGCACACTTCCACCATCCCAACAATCTGATAGTCATTGTTAACAATGAATCTACAAAGGAGCAAAGATTGCCACGAGGCAACACTGGAGCACATCTTCATGTTCACTGTGTACTCCATGCATGCTCATAATGTTCGGACACATGCTGCGAGATCACTTCAACACGCGATGCCGAGAGGATCGTACCGTGAATATAATCTGTAGCTGCATTGCTCGAACTGCTCTAGATGGTGTTTGCTCGAGGTGTGAAATCTAGCCAAATTTGCAGCATTCATTAGCTAATGTGGAAAATTGTTTACCCGACCAAATATAATGCACCAGTGAGGCCTAGTCTTTTATCAGAATGAAATCGAAACAAAAGACCCTTTTCGTTTCCATATTATTTTCTAAAAAAAAGTCATAATACGTGAGAATTGAAACTCTCTTTGAACATGAAATTTGCCAAAAAAAAAAAAAGGAAAAAATGGCCTTGAAAAAATATTCTCACCAAATTCTCTCGAATTTCCTCATTTCCGTTTCAAACCACTCTCATGAAAAAATACCAAACGAGGCTGTCTAAATCGCAACGCGTGGAATGGTTTGTAAGAAATGATCAAAATCAGGTAAAATGCGCAAAGCTTTGAAAAGTTTCGGGGGTGGTAACGGTAATACGTTGAAGTTCGGGGACCGAGGGCGATTTTCGCAAACTCCCGGTAAACCCAGAACCGAAACGTGGCGACTTCTGATTGGACGATACGCGGGGGAGCATCATTTGAATGCTGATCGCGACCGTGCAGGATCGCAGCATCTGCTAGCCTCTTAAGCAAGTAAAGCCCTCCCTGCAGAACTTCTTCGATTCATCGTCATATTTCGTTCGTCTCTGCAAATCCAAGCTCCGATCTTTCGCTTCCCGAGCTCGAAATCAGCAACCATGGTGCTCGAGGTTAGCTTCGCGTCCCTCTCTTCTCCTCTTCGCAATTCCGATCCCGACGCGTCCGTGTTTCGCGTCGCCGATTAGGGTTCCGATGTCCTCGCCGCTGTTCCGCGGCTGATTAGATGATTCCTTTTTTTTCCTCCTTCAATTTTGGCTGATGTCAGGCGACGATGATATGTATCGACAACTCCGAGTGGATGCGCAATGGCGATTACTCCCCCAACAGGTTTCAAGCCCAAGCGGACGCCGTCAACCTCATTTGCGGCGCCAAAACGCAGGTGCAGTGATGCGGGCCTTCTCCGTTTGGCTTCCTTTTTCGCTGCGTTACGGCGTGGGGAGTTTGATTAGGGGAAAACGCGAATCCTTTTGAGTGGCTTTTGATCATTGGGGCACGCCGCTTTGTGGGTTTTTTTTTTTTTTTTTTTTGCGAGGGATGTGCGCTGTAGGGTTTGCTTTGTCTCTGCGTTTGGTTGCCCTCCGAGAGATCTGTGGTCGGTTCGTTTTGGTTTTGCTAGGTGTTGTTATGAGGAGGGGAAAAAGGATTTTTGAGACGTTGTCCTGGTGTTGTGTGCAGTCGAATCCGGAGAACACTGTTGGAGTTCTGACTATGGCGGGGAAAGGAGTTCGAGTTTTGGTTACTCCTACTAGTGACCTTGGCAAGATCTTGGCTTGTATGCACGGTGCGTCCTCCATTTGCATTTTCAATGTTCTGTTTATTTTGGGGCTGTGGTTGAGGAGGGTCATGTACTGAAATACCTCTGGTTTTCAATAATTTGTTGGCTTGGACAACTGTGTTCGTAAATTTGCTGTGGCTTTGCATGAAGGGTGTCTGTGTCCACAGGTAGAGTTGGGCAATTGTATTTCCCAACGAATTTGGTATTTTGAGTAGATAATTTTATTTAATTAAATGGGATTGGAGAGTTGTTCGTGGGTATCTTTTTAATCCTCATATTTTGGGAAATTGGCATTTGATAGGATTTTTTTTGTTGTGGTGTATGGGTGTTGGCCTTCTTTTCTTTCTTGTTGGGGTTGTTGTTGGGTAGTGGGGGGGAGGGAGGTTAGGTTAGCCTTACGAAAATTCTTATGTCTTATTTCTGTGGAGAATTTAGGCCTGGAAATTGGCGGTGAGATGAATCTGGCTGCGGGAATCCAGGTGGCTCAATTGGCACTAAAGCATCGCCAAAATAAAAAGCAGCAACAAAGAATTATAGTCTTTGCTGGAAGGTGCTGCGAGTTTTTTTATGTTCTTTGCTCTTCAATGTGTCATGTTTTTCTTCTTCAATTTGATGTTGATATTGGGTGCTTTCAGTCCCATCAAACATGACAAGAAGTTACTGGAGATGATTGGAAGGAAGTTAAAGAAGAACAGTGTAGCGCTTGATATTGTCGACTTTGGGGAAGAAGATGAAGGGAAACCTGAGAAACTGGAAGCCCTGCTTGCTGCTGTGAATAATAACGACACCAGCCACATTGTTCATGTTCCTTCTGGTCCAAATGCTCTTTCTGATGTTCTGATAAGGTAGGCCATTATGATTTATTCCTTGAAAGTTGTTGTCAACCGTAGAACATGTTTCGATTTTCCTTATGTATTTGATTGTTTGGTAGCACGCCTATCTTCACCGGGGATGGGGAAGGTGGAAGTGGATTTGCAGCGGCGGCTGCAGCAGCTGCAGCTGGTGGTGTCTCTGGTTTTGATCTTGGTGTTGATCCCAATCTGGATCCTGAGCTGGCCCTTGCTCTTAGAGTTTCCATGGAAGAGGAAAGAGCAAGGCAAGAAGCAGCAGCTAAGAAGGCTGCAGAGGTAGCTGCTAAGCAGGAGAAAGGAGGAGAACAACAGCCATCATCACAAGATGCCACCATGACTGAAGGTGCCAGTGGTTCAGCTTCTGAAGCAGATAATAAAAAAGATGATTTAATGGTCAGTATCATTGTTAAGCCTTTCAGTTTGCCTGGTGTTATTAAGTCCATTTCTCAATCATTTAATTAAGAACCTAGAAAGACCCCAAGCTATTGATTTTGAGGAACATGTCCGATTTTCATGCAAATGAAATGCATCTGTTGGTTTCTGACCAAAAAAAAAAAAAAAATGCATCTGTTGGTTGGAATTTTACATATCAACTGTTATGGATGCTCCACAGCTTTCCTGCTGAGATATTTAAAGTTATTTTTTACAATCAAATAGGATTTTCCTATTGGGAGATTTTCCTGCGTTTTGTACGAGAGAGAGAGAGAGAGAGAGAGAGAGAGAGAGAGAGAGAGAGAGAGAGAGAGCCATCCCCTGATTGTTTATCCCGTGCACCAGGATAAGTATATTCTTGATTAAAATTCATGCAAGTATCTGAAAGGAGAAAGAGTCTCTGTAGGGGATTGTATCTAGATGATGATTTCATAAGTAATGGTGCTTCTATTTTCCCATCTGGTTCACATCCTTGACCTTATGTGAGTTTTAAGAATACCACAACTGTCTGCATACATTATGGGGCTTTTGCTTTGTTATTATTGAATGTTCAAAACGTATTGTCTCTTGTTGAAATTATAGCATGAGGTTCATTGGTTTTTCAAGGCTGAAGCAGATTTTGGGACGCTGAGGGAAATTATGAATATATGGTGTTATTCCCCTATGTTTTCAAATTATCTAGTTCTTCTGTGCTGTTTGTCAAATGAAGCAGACTGAAGGCTTTGATGATTTAAATGTCTACTTGTGAAAAATTTGCTGCATCTTGTTTTGATTCCCAGTTGGGGCTGCCTATTTTCGGATTCTTGCAAAGTCATCAATGTTTACTGCATGACGGTGAAACTAATTACTCCCATCCTCTATGGTCACATGATTGACCTGTGTTACCTTACTTTTTTGAAGGGTTGCAATTAACTTAAAACTTATCATAATTACGTGAGGGATGCAATTCGCAAAAAACATGTTTTCTTACTTTTGTCATCTTTTTGGACTCTGGGAAATGTTGAATTTTAATGATAAGATCATTTGTTTGTTGGCCCCCACTCAGTACATTTACTGGTTGAACTTGGTACTAATATTTGTTTAAGTGGCAGGATGACGAGAATGCTTTGCTACAGCAGGCCCTTGCTATGTCGATGGATGATACCACCTCTAGCCATGATATGCGAGACACTGACATGTCAGAGGCAGCTGCAGATGATCCGGATTTGGCTCTAGGTTAGATCTTGTTATTTAGCCTTATGTCTTGTGTCCACCCCCGACAGATGGGTGAATGGTATTCACCTGTCTTTTTGTGTGCTACTGTATAGAAGAGATGCTTTGGAAACTCACATGGTCTCGTGTTATCATACGAGAAAGAGAGACTGCACTGCATGTTGACATCTTTCACAACACTAGTTATGCCTTCTGTGAATTCCCTTGAAATTGATTTCCTTCCTGGCTTACATCTTTTGTGGAGAGCAATATGGATTGGCATGCTATCTCTTTGTTGCAACGATTGCTGGAAGCATATTGAAGACAATTTTTTTCCTTCTTGCTGGTTGGTGGTGTAATAAATTACTGTGTGGTGCTTGCAGCTCTTCAATTGTCGGTTCAGGACAGTGACAAAGATTCCTCAGGCCAGACAGATATGAGCAAGTTGTTGGCAGACCAATCCTTTGTGTCATCCATAATTGCATCGGTACGTTTGATGCATCTTTTATTTGAACCCTTGAATTCTTAGTTTTAACATAGAAAGCAATTGGGTTGCCTAGCTTCCATGTGATGATGATTTGTTGCCCCTGCAGCTGCCTGGAGTGGATCCAAACGATCCTTCTGTCAAGGATTTGCTTGCTTCCATGCAAAACCAGTCGCAGGTGCGATTTTAACAGTAATAGAAGCCCTGGTAGAAGTGGGATCTTTTGTGTATCTGATATAGGGTATCATAGTTATCCATCGGTTCGATGCTCCATTCTTGGGTTTTCTGTGTGTAAATGAGGGTGTAAATTGGCTTGATTTTGATTAAGGGTGCGTTTGTTTTGCGGAAAACATACCATTTCTGGAAAATACTTTCCAGGAAATCATTTTCCAGGAAAATGAGTTCATTTTTTGGTATTTGGCTAAAACTTAAAAAAGACTTGGAAAGTATTTTCAGCAGTTTGGTAAGAAAAATGAAAAATCTGAAGGTGAAAATTATCAAAAAATTTGTATTTTTTAAATTATTTCAAATTATTTTTTATTTTTAAATTATTTTTTTTAAGAAAAGAAAATACATGAATATTTTCCTTCTTAGAAAGAAAAGAAAAAGAAAAAACAAGAAAAAAAAAAGAAAGAAAAGAAAAGAAAAATATTAACAAATTCAAGATGAGCTATTCCGGAAAGTGTTTTCACCTTCTTAGGTAAGGGAATTCACTTTCCTAAAATTAAACATGATATTTGTGTTGACCGGAAAGTATTTTCCG